TTCATCTAGTGACTTTAACGCGGGTTGGGGGAAGCAGCGGGTCGTGGTGTCTGAGCGGTCGTGCGGGGCTATGTGGAAAAAACAACAGGACAAACACCCCGCGAAATAAGCCCCCGCTCTCTAGGCATGGCTTCATCTGTCTGCTTGGCATGTGTGCCTGCTACGCCTGCCTTTACCAAAAAATGAACAAATTAAAGGTGCGGTTCTCACGGGTTAAACCGAGCAGCTTTGTCCTTATCCTACTATCATCGTGTATTAATACAACTCTCTTGCTCGCTAATAATAACAAAAAAGTAATGGCGGAAACAAGCGTTCTGCTTGATAAAACCATAATATCTTTATTTTTTAACAAACAAAGTCCCCATATCCTGTCAGGATATAGCAGAGGATAGCTACCGTCTGTCAACATTGCAACGAAACCATATATATCACGCAGACTTCTTAGGCCTTAGCTCCCCCTGCTTATACACCTGCAAAATCAGCACCTGCGTGTAATTCAGAGCAAGTCATTACTGATGATGTATATCTGAAGAGAACAAAAACTGAGCTTTGCAATAAGAGGATGTTTCAACCGGGCTTACGAAAACTTTGGTTTACACTGACGTATACAAATTAATGACTAGTAAGCAAACGCATCTTTCTATCCGTGCTAAAGGTAAAACACCCCAAGCTCTTTAATTAATGTGTCAAAACGTACAGAAAACACGCGTCGATGGTCCTTAGACGCAGTTTCTCCTAACCAAAAAAGCCCATACTTGATAGTCCTAATACTAAGATTAACAAACAATAAAAAGAGGCACCTTCGCCCCCCGGCCTCATGCCGGGGTACTGAGCCACCTGCGTGCCCAAGCACCTGCCTTCTCCCAGGGTTTGGTTTCTCTCCGGGTTTGCCATCTGCGCGGGCGGCTAATCCGGCCGTGAGAACAGTCATACGTCCGACCCCGACTTCCCCATCCAGTCTGGGAGTTAGCACTGGTAAATGAAAGCACGTCAACAGACCAAACCGAAGGTAAACAGGTCACGTCCCTGCAGGGACACGGGAAGGCCCTAGGTAAGGACATTTAGCTGCAGGGATGAAGTTGCTGATTTTTGGGCACGCTCAGGAGAACAGCTTGGAGAGACTGGCAGGCCAAAGCCAAAGCCCCTGGGGGAAATTTCCAGCCTGCTCCATTTCTCAGAAACTTTCCTCTTCCCTATATGTGCACACTGAAGGTGAACCAAGGGCCTGCTTGAGCTTCTCCGGGGAAAGGACTGAGCCTGCTGCGGATGTGCATGGTGTTTGTGCTCGATGCCAGTCTCGGTCTCCCCAGTTAGCCCTGTCCAGCCAGCCCGTTGGGGCCCTCTGGGCCCGTGTGAGCCCTGGCTGCTTTGGTTCAAGGAGCCAGTAAATCGCAGCGTCCTTGCTCACCCTCTGTGGATCCACCACCTGAATGAGCACCTTCCTTTTCCAGGGAAGCTTAGGCGACTGACAAAAGAAGAGAGTTTCTCTAAAACAAACCAGCATTCAGCTATTGATCACCTTGGTTAGAAAAGCAAAATACTTAGGGTCAGAAACTCACCCTCAGAAGCCGCACAGACCTGCTTACATTCTTTAAAAACAGGTTTTATTCACGAGTTTCCCCTGATCCTCGACCACGGCAAACAAAGCTTAGCGCCTGGTGGTTGAGGAGGCAATTTTGTTAGGTGGAGCCCCTCCTGAAAGTCTATCGCCCCATGCCTTTTGGCAGTGCCATTCAAAGGCGAGTGAGATGCGTGCAAATCTTCTCCCCCTTCCCCTGTCCCAGCAAAGCAGAACGAGAAGCAGGGGGGGGCAAACCTCAGTTTGTGCACAACAAACATAAAACCAGTCTCCCGATCCCCCTCGATGTTTCTGCCCAGAACTCAACAAATGCTGTTAGCAAAATCGTTCTCTGAACACTCACGTTTTCCTCACGTGGCCCTGTCTCTGCTAGCCCTGGGAATGACACGGATTCTGCGTTGTTTTCATTAGCCTTTGATCAGCTCTTTGTTTCTGCTGGCAAAAGGACCTTTTTTGCATTCTTTGGGCTCCTTAAGATTTTCTTAGCTCAACAGTTAAATCATAGGGCAGAAGTTCTGTGACAGATCTGAGTGCAAGGTTGGTTATGAAATCACTAGCGATGCTACTGATCTGACCTATAGGATCAGATTGATCCCTGGCATTACTCGATTTACTGGGGTGTAATTTTATCAAAGAATAATTTAAATCTGCTAACTCCAGTGGAGGTGCTGCTTGTAAAAGAAAATTCCCTAGGCTCTCTTTCCACTCATGAGATTAAAGGAGTTACAACTTTGTTATACGAGGAATATGCCCGCTGGCTTATGTATTTTAAATTAAAGCCTAGGAAAACACTTCTTACATTCAGATGATAAACACAGGCACTGTATTTTTTTGGTTTATCTTGCTTGCCCAGAACTGCAATAAAGGGCAATAAAAAACTGTGAAGAAAAACTTCTGTTCAAATTAAAGATATTGAATTTTGAGACACATTAATTTCCCTTGCCAGTGTTAAAATAAAGCTTCATTTTTCAGTGTGTTAAGTAAGCTAACTACATGTCCAGTCCCACATGCAATTCCACGTGGCAGACATCTTCATTACCTGGAGCTTTGCTTTTATCTCTAATACGTTTCTTTGAAGGGGTACATGTCTACACTTTGAAGGGAAACCATTTGTATAAATGGAAGCCTAACGTCAAAACGCTTTGGCTTCTGTGCATATAGAGCCTAAAACCTACAGCTGTGTCTTCAGGAATTAATTAATATGCTGAAGGAAATTCCAAACAAAAAAATCAATCCATCAAACAAAAATCAGCTTTTAAACCTGAAGCTTTAATTTAGCCAAAAAATGAACGCATGCTTCCCAGGAAAGGTACTGGAGGGAGTACCTGTACTTACGAGCAGCTGCCACCACTTGCTTCTAGTGAGGCCTACAGTGCTGCGTTTGCACAACACTGCCAGGTTGCAATGCCCCCTAATATTTTCAAGATCCCAACTAGCAATTTCAGCTGTAAGTAGAGAAGCACAAGGTTTTTGTTTTTTCTTCCCTGCCTATAATTTCCTAGATCCCTGATTTATTATCAGCTTCCCTTCTATTGCCGTATAAAACGGTACATAAAACAGTAACACTGGAAGAACCTGTCCGTTTCAAGCAAGGCTTTCAGATGTGAAGTGCTTCGCTTCGGGGCCTAACATTCACGTAGGCATCTAAACTCTATTAATAAATAATCCAACATAAATCCAGAAGTAACGACATGAGTAACGACATGAGTCTAAAGTTGGCACAAGGATCTCAAATTCACATATAAAACCCAGGTGGGAAACGCAGGCAGTTGTAGTGTTTCTCCCTACCATATCCTTCTATATTCAGCCTCAGAGATAAGATGCAGAGACTGGCGGAGGAAGCTCTGACTTCCTGGTCTGAGCCTGTCTCTGCTGACAGAGGCACGAGACCTGGTACTGTCGTTACCTGCCACGTTTTATTGTGGAGTTTAGCACCTCCTGCTTCTTCCTTGCCTTTCTGCCCTGCCTGTCAACAGAGTGACAGTCCTCAGCAGCCAAGTGGAGTGTGAGGCAGAGACAACTCCATTTGTTGGACTACCGGAAGGATTTCTGAGCTTCAGGTTGGGTTTTCCCTGCTTAGTGTATTTGCTAAGAGAAAAATTTCTTCCTGGCATGGCTAACGGGTAAGAGGAAATCATGTTAATTCTTTTTTAACACCAAGGACAGTGGGAACGGGGTATATTTGTTTGGGAAATATGTGTAAAACGGACTTGGGTGAAATGCAGCATTGCAATAATCCTGCTTCTCATTTCTGTTCTGCTTTAGTAACCCACTTCAATGTAAAAAGTTGGTGAGGACTAAAAAGACAACTGAACCATAGCTAAAGTAGAGTGAAGCTAAAATTGTATTTTACTTGCACATAGCTGATAATGTATAATTGTTTCTCCAATCATCATTTGCCTTGCCCAGGACTTTGTCAGTGTTACTGCATAACTTTGTACTTTTATCGCTTGACAATCAGTTTTCATTTCCACCTACAAAACCTGTCTTATTAATTCTTTTGTCTTTCAAATATCTAGTTTAAACTAAAAAAAACCACTATTGGAGTCAAGTAAAAAATATATATACTGGTATAAGAAAGAGGAAAATCAAGATAATTGCTTATATCTTGAATTGACCCTATGAGATGGTGAATGTATTCCACAACATTAGAACCAAATTTTTTTAAATGAATGAAGACTTGTAAAAGGTTGCTCATCAAACTTTCCAAATGCTTCTGCACCCTCGGCTAAGATTAAAGGATTTTAAGAAAGTGGACGTTGTTCAAAGGACCTGTGAAGATAAATTTCCTTTAGAAAAGGTGTTCAATCAAACCTTCTCCGCAGGGCTCTGTGTGACCCATTTGCAATCTATGTTTTTCTTGATTTGACTTGCTGACCTGATTCGCTGCTGACCCATTAATTCTCTTCATCTCTTGAGTCATTTCTGATTTATCACAATAAAAGATTTCTTGTTGGGGAATTGTTTCCCCAACAGAGTGACAGTTTCATACAAGAAAATCACTGGGAAAAACTGGCATATCGTGTGAATGTTTCATTTGAAAGCAATGACAGCAATGGAGATCCTTTTGCTCTAGCTGTACTGCTATTACCTTAGAGTTACTGTTGCAAAGACCCTCCCCAAAGTCTTCTCAGCTCTGAGTAAGTGCTTTTTTGTTATTGGGCTGGTGTCTTGTGCACTTAAGCAGGTTTGAGCAAGACTGCAACTGCACAAAATCCAACTGGCCAGACTTCATGTGTAGAAATGATTTATTCCAAAGCACAAATCTAACAGCTGAGGGATTTCACTATAGAGAGGGGATTAAAAACTAATGATAAAGATCCCTGAGCTGAGTCATACATGCAATCATATTGAAAATCAGAAGGTAAATACACAATACTCTTTTTTTCAGGAAAACTTTACCTAAATGCTATGTGTCATGGATTTACATAAAGGTGTTGGGCTTCTTCGCTTTGAAGTTGTCTCACCTCATATGTGTAAGTTAAATTATAGGCCTTTTGTAAGAAATACTGTCGAAACAGTTTTTACAAGGTGACTATGTAAGTTGTTAAACAAGTTCTTTGCTTTGGCATCAATATATTTCTCTTTATTCTAACCTTCAGGTATAATGTGTACAGTTTTTGAAAATGAAAGGGACACCAAAAAGGAGATGAAGAGTCCCTGATGATACTGTGGTAGCACCGAGAAAAAGGAGAGAAAAGGAATTTATTTTATAAAATTAAGTGATTTTAAAGTCTTGGGGCACATTTTCCGAATACAGGAATATGCTTAGCAGGAGTATGTTTATTAAATAAATATGAGGACTGACATCTGTAGGTATGCTCTTGCTGTAACCCTCTTCCGAGTAAAGACACTTAGAGTTTGTCTCTATGAGTGCATGGAATATTCCGTAAAATTTCCGGAAGAGGAAAGACTCCAGCTGCCCTTCATAAACAGCACAAATCTGCCAAGAACAAGCTGGAGGTATTGCAGGAATGACAGATTTCCCATATGGAAAAGACAATTTTTACCGAAATACATATCTACTAAAGTAATCTATACAAAATATTATACATATAGTACAAAATGCCAAAAAAAAGCTAACTCTCCCCCCTAATATTTCACATACCTTGAATGTTCAATAGATAGCACCTCTCCACCACAAGTAGTAACTTAGGCAAAGGTAACAAGGTAAAAGCTCCATTAAACTAGCATGGACGTATTCAAGTAGGTAACATCAGTCGATGCAGTGGAGTAGATGGCAGGAGCATCCAGAAACCAGGAGAAAAGTGACCCAGTAAAATTGCGTCAGTCCACAGCAATATGAATGTAGACAGCATTTGCAGTTTGAAGAACAACTCTGGTAGTCTTCTGTGAACTTGCAGATCTGGTTCTTGGTACTTCAGCTGAGCCAATGAGATGAGCAATTTTCTGTTTAGTGCTGGTCTGTAAGCTCTTCAGAGGAGGAATTGCTATCCTCAAGACTCAGGAAAGATTGTGGAGGTAGGATTGAAAATAAATAAAAATTCTGCTCTTGCTTGCTTCTGTGGTATGTTGGGCAGCTAATTCCCTCTGAAGTTGAGCATGTATCTTGTATCGGCTGTGCAGTCGATATTGCTGATGTGATGCCACAAGCCACACTTCTACTTTAGATGCAGAGCGTGGGGTTGGGCAGAGGCTAAATATATCTGCTCTGTGACAGCCTCCTTCTACTCCAGTGTAAAACCTGTGCAAGTACTTGTTCCATGCAAAAACCTTCCTTCATAGTCACGTTTAACCTAGGCAATAAACGTATCCTTTGGCTCCTATATACTGAACTTTTAGTCCTGCTCCTTCTTTCAGTTATTTCATACCTATTCAAGCCTAGTTCAAAACTCAAGTGATTTTGTAGATTTTCCCATCAACAATAATCTCAAAGTATCGCAGAGGCAGTGTGAAAATGGACCATCAGTGCCTCCAGCATAGTTCAGGTACATGATGGCTCAGATTCCCAGTTGCAGGAGACTTAGGTGTGGCAGCTGAAGTGGTTACAGTTGCCTGCCCTGCCCTTCTGTAGGAGGTTGCTTTCCCCACACTGAATATCAGATGTTCTTCACCCTCGTGAGCTGCTGCAATTTATCCTCTGGTGCATTAAGGTAAAGAAGCTGGTTTTGGCTCTTAACTCAGGAGTGTGAATTTCTTTATGCAGTAAGTCCTCAAGGACTTTTTCGGGACTTCAATCGTACGTTGTAGGGGCTACACCCCACAGTCGCTCAGGCAATTCTAGAGAAAAAGTATTGCTCAATAAGGCAAAAACACGTTCCAGTTCTCCAGGCACAGTTTGCTACTTTTTTTTTTCCATTAACATAGCACGTAGAACAGCAGTTTCTGAGCCAGCCACAAAGCACAGTCCAGTACAGGAGAAGGCATGTAAAATCTTGCTGTAGCGCTTCCGAAGCAATCTACCACCACTTGACTAATGCCCTCTTTTCTGCTATGACTTCTGTGCTCTGCCTGCTAACAACAGGCTGCGCCTGTCTGGCCCCCTTTTCACTCTTCCTTGCTCTCTGGCTGCCTGTTATACAGCTTTCTCTGTGCCGTCACATCTAGGCTGCCACATCAGGAGACTCTTGGTGAACTTACCGTAATATTTGTTTGCTCTTTCTCCTGGACAGTCTGGAATCTGTCACTGGCTGGGGGATGCAGAGAGTATCTCCAGCCTCGCCAGAATAGAAAGAGAGGACATAACAATTATCAGTCAGGAGGTTCAGAGCTGGGCTGAAAGTACCTTGGTCCAGTTTGGGAGAACCAGTTGTTAAAATCATGGCAAGCTGCTCACATGGCTATTTGGGGGGAAAAAATGCCCAAATTGACAAATTTCTGCACTTTTCTTCTTGCATGGAGCAGAAGTTCAGGGGTTCTCTACGGGGCTTCTATGCATGTGCTGGTTTGTAACTGATTAATTCAACTGTCAGTTATTTTAAGACTAATCCACTCCTCTTTCTTCTCCACTGTAATCCGTCTTGACCTTGTGTGTCAGTGTGGACATGGTGTCCTGGAACTGGAGCTACTCTTGGGCAGTTCATCGCAATAACAAGTCTTCCTAGATCTTGCTGATGAATGGATGGATAGATTTCTGAAAACGATACACAATTATGTGGGATAAAAGTCCATTAAAAGGAGGAAAAGACCAGCCTAGGTTTGTATGAGCATTTGGGATCAGTGCACAAGAGAATTTTATTGTATGGAGCCTCTGTGCTTAGAGTCTTAGTGACCCTTCATTACTTTAGCTTTGTGCTAGTGTAACCGTGCACATGGGCAAAGGAGAGCATCTCTGACGTGGGGTCCTGCAGTGCTGAGATGCAGGAAATCAGTAGAAAGAGTGTGTATAAGATTGCTGCTAAAAAAGCAATCATAGAGAGAATTTTTCGCTTTAGGCTTTGTTGAGTAGCGTTGCTGTGTGCTGCCTGCTGATAACAATCTCCTGCTTGCCTGTGATTTGTATATAGAATCCTTCTGAATGAAACACCATCATCTTCATTTTTATTTCAGCGCATGGAAGACAGTAGGGAAGCTCCCTCACAGGAACTTTGTTAAAATATATTCTAAAACAACTTCAGGGAAGAGGCTCAAATTCCCTTACAGATTACTTGCATTCTTTAGGTATTAACGTCAACTGTATGCTATATGGTTTTCACAGCAACACAGACAGCAAGGTGTTGGGAGAAGAGAAAGCTCTCCTGATGACAAATTAGTATCCAGAACATATTTAGAGTGACAGTAAAAGACTCTAGAAGTGACTTTCATAAAGACCTAACAGTATGTGTCTTTTTCAACACGTGTGTTTCACTGTATTTCATGGCAGGAAGGCCTTAAACCATGAACTTTCTAAACTTTTCAATGAGATGTGGGATATGGATGTTAACCGCTTTATGCCTGGGAAAGACTACACAATTGAACTGCAGGTAAGGAACTAAGTAGCATGAGGATTAAGGGCAGGACAGTGTTGTAGGAAAAGGCATGGGTGAAACTGCCTTTTGATAAGAGCTGCCTGTGCTTCATAATTTTCATTAATGGCACAGCCAGGACTTTCTAATGGGGAAGAGTCGCTTAGGGGAGGGAACAGTACAGAGAAGGCAGGAGGCCCAACGTGTTAACGGTTCACACTCTGCCTGGAAGCTGGTTACAAGTGGAGTCCCTCAGGGGTCTGTTCTTCATCCTGTAATGTTTAATATCTTTATCAGTGACCTGAAGTAGGAGACGGAGTGCAACCTTTCCAAGTTTGTAGCTGCCAGCAAACTGGGGGGAAGCAGTCAATATGCTCAAGGGCAGGGCTGCTATTCAGATAGACCGAAACAGGCTGGAGGAATGGGCTGAAGGAACCTCATGAAATTTAACAAGAACAAATGCAAATGAGACAGGGTGCCAAAGAAGTTGTGAAATCTCCATCCCCGCAAGTTTTCAAGCCCCAACAGGACAACATCCTGAGCAACATGGTCTGAATTCAGCATTGACCATGCTTGGAGCAGAAGGCTGGACTAGAGACATCCTGAGGTCCCCTCCACTCTAGATGTTTCTGTGACTGTATGACTGTGTGTTTGCATGTGTGTATGACTGCATGTATGGTCTGAGGAACTTGCACTGAGAGAAAAGATGAGACAGGTCCCAAGTCATTCTTGGGGGGCTGGGGGAGGACCCAGAGGGAAGAGGATCCCTGGGTCTCTCCTGGAGACTGTGGAGTAGCACAGAGATGTGGGTGAGGAGGGTTTTGGGGTAGCTGCCGTCACTCCCAGGGACCTGTGAGGGAGGAGCAGGTATCAGATTTGACAAGCGTCCATTTCACTCCCTGCTGGCTCAGCGTAGTGCAAACATGATCATGCGCTGTGGCCACAAATTGCAGCAGGTCACTGAATAGTCAATATCCAATTGTGTACTCAGACAGGTGCTCACACACTTTACTACAATGTATTATAATTTTCTATTGCTGATAAACTTGAGAGAGGGGTACCCACCGCAGACCAGAACGCGTGTGCTGCAAAACTTCTCCCGTATGGCTTCTCTGTTTCTCAAAACAAGGCTCTAGTTACCCCTTGCCCATGTTAACAAACTGCTACTCACTTTTTTTTTCCTCTCCTTGAGAATGCCCTCTTTGGAGCCAGAACTTGAAAACTGTCAGAAAAAGTCTCCTTTCTGTTTGGGATATGCTTATTTGTAACCTTGATTAAAATGCCCTTAATCATGAGCCAACTATAAGTCTTTGAAAACCTCAGCCAAATGAACGTCTGCCTGTCCAAAGATGCTGGAGCTGCCCAGAGCTGTCTCGGCTCCTCCCTGGCACTGAGGCGATGGCTGGGGCTGTGGTCATGAAGCCAAAAAGAGAAAACAAGGGCTGAGCCTGAGGGAACCTACTCAGGAGTTGGATGGGTTAAGCAATATCAGGGAGGAGAGGAGGATTAGACTGGTTAGCTTGGGGAGCAGGCTTGGCACTCAGGAGAGAAACAATACCTCTACTGCCCCCTCTACGGCCCCATAAACTTTATGCAGTGGGTCTGTGGATTACAAGGGAACAGAGCAGCTAGGTGCCCAGATCTCCTTTTTAAAATGTGTGCCATCACATGGGTAATCACAGTCATCTCTGAAAAAAGAGTCAAAAAACGGAATTTCAAACTCTTGTAATGCCAGAGATTATCTTTTTTCTTGATGGTGGCTGTTCTATAATATCTTTTCTTGTTCCTGAGATGATCATTCATAGCAAAGAATTTTGATAGTATTATGCTTCTTCTTTTGATTATTATGAAGACAACCATTCTATCCCTTAAGTACATTTTGCTCTGTCATTGTTTTATTCTGGTGTTTCTCCTAGGGAAAAGCAGGTGACAGCGCTACCCAAGACAGTGCCGCCAGACATCTGTTTCACTCTGTAAATGAAGAACGCATGAAGAGCATAAAAACTTTTGCAAGTGAGATCTGTTGTTTCGTTAAGGGTGGAAATGACATGGAGAATCTGTCTCTTTTTTTTTTATGCGCATTCTTAAAATATAACATTGTGTATCATTTGGATGGTGAGATGAGAACGAGGTGAGGATCTTGAGGATGCCTGTCATTTGAAGGTAATTTCCCCAGCATTTGCAATGAGTCATGGAGATTACCTGTAGCCTCAGCCTCAGGAAGAATATCCATTTGTGCCTTAGCCAAAATCTGGATTCCTCTGAGGTTCTTCCAATACAAAATGAAATGGATGAGAGACTCTGTTATTGCTTCAATGTAATTCTGTGTTTTGAAAAAGAAGCCAAATTCCACCTTCCTCATTTGCTCACAGCTCCTAGCCCCTTTCAGAGAGCCCTGAGTCCACAGCTATTGATTGCATTTCTGTCAGCGCTGTACTTCCAGCATGTCTATGAATGTATGTTTCCTTCCCTGTTTTTTATTTTCCCAAGCTACATTCTCTAGGGTCAGTCAAGGAATTGCCATATTACATGGCCTCTTTTTATATGATAGTACTCTCTAATGGCTGGACATAATGGTGTCATTATACATAAGTCCTATTCATCAGGATGAACATGCTGAAAGTTTCTCTTTTTCTGTAGCCTTTATTTCCTTACTGGACAACTATGAGTCATCAACTGGTGTAGCAGAAGTAGTGACTCCAGAAGAAATAGCTGAAAACAATCGGTTTCTTGACGCTATCTTAGAAACTGAAGTAATGAAAGTGAGTAACGCAGATCTTATTTTTTAGTCACTGAAAACGCTGAATTGAAAAGCAAACTGTGTATATGTTTTTGTTTTCCAACCTCCAGCGAGCTCATCAGTATCTGGTTAAAAAACACCTGGCAGAGCCAAACCTTACTGATTTCAAATCTCAGCTCTATGACATCTGGTTTCAGCTCTATGCCAGAAAAGAAGGAAACAGGTATGTTTGCTTAATAAGTCCCCGGTAATCCTCCCACTCTTCTGATTTATGTAAATATAGGATTGAGTTCTGTGTGTTACATACAGAAATGGAAGGCAGTCTCAGAATATGGCCAAAATTAGGTGTTCGTTGGTCCTGCACAGACCATGTTTAAAGACTTACTGATGATTCAGCTAGTACTGATATGCAGTACTTTTGTGTCAAAGACCTCCTCTGGTTTCCTTATAGCACTATGCCCATTAGGTGTATAATTCTTTCTGTGCAAAAAGATGGTAGGAATTAAAAAAAATTGCTAGTAATTGTTTATAAACAGTCACAGAATCACAGAAGAGTTGGAAGGGACTTCTGGATGTCTCTAGTCCAAACCTCCTGCTCAAAGCAGGATGAGATAGAGCAGGTCAGGGCCTTGTCCAGTCAGGTTCTGAGTATGTCCAAGGATGGAGACTCCACAACTTCTCTGGACAATCTATTCTAGTAAAAAAGTTTTTTCTTATATTTCAGTGGAACTTCCTATATTTCAATTTTTGCCCACTGCTGCTCATCCTGTCACTGGGCACCACTAAGAAGAGTCTGGTTTGTCTTCTTTACTCTCCTCTATTAGATATTTTTACACATTGATAAGATCCCCACTGAGCCTGCCCTTCTCCAGGCTGAACAGTCCCAGCTCTCTCAGCCTCTCCTCACATATCAGATCCTCCAGTCCCTTAACCATCTTTGTGGCCTTTCATGGCGCTCACTCCAGCAAGTCCATGTCTCTCTTGTTCTGGGGAGCCTAGACATGGGCCCAGTACTCCAGAGGTGGCCATGCCACCTAGTGCCATGCTGAGTAGAGGGGAAGGATCACCTCCCTCGACCTGCTGGCTACACTCTTCCTAATGCAGCCTAGGAGGCTGTTGGCCGCCTTTGCCGTGAGGGTGCATTGCTGGCTCATGTCCAATTTGTTGTCCTCCAGGACGCCCAGGTCCTTCCCTGCAAAGCTGCTTTCCAGTCTGTTGGCCCCCAGCATGTAATGGCGCATGGGGTTATTCCTCCCCACATGCAGGACTTTGCATTTCCCTTTACTGAACTTCATCAGATTCCTGTCAGCCCACTTCTCCACCCTGTTGAGGGGCAGGGTGCCCCTCTGAATGGCAGTGCAACAGTCTATGCTCTGCAGCAGGCTGAGGGTGTGCTCTGTCCCATGATCCAAGTCAGTAATGAAGATATTAAAACAATATTGGCCCCATTAGCTGCCCCTGGAATACATCCCTAGTGACTGGCTTCCAGCTGGACTTTGTATCACTCATCACAATCCGTTGAGTCCAAAAGTTGAACCAGTTTTCAGTCCACCTCACTGTGCATTTATCTAGTCCATATTTCATCAGCTTGTCTATAGGAATGTTATGGGAGACAGTGTTGAAAGCCTTGCTAAAATCAAGATAAATAACAATATGCATGTGGTTTTAACTAAGAACCTTAATCATCAAATAGAAATTTAGACTTCATGGCTAGATTTCATTGCAAATTTTGTGCAAAGTAAGAAAGAAAACTCAAGAAATCCCAAACAAAACCTGACAAATAAAAAAAAAATTGTTTGTAGATTAACCTAAGCAAAATTGTGTACATTGTGGCCTTTTACCTCAGCCAATCTGAACTATTTAAACAATGAAAAACCTAATTATTATTCTTTTGATTTATTGCAGACCTGATTCCTGTGGTTTTGAACATGTTTTTGTTGGAGAAACAAGGCGTGGTAAACAGATCTTAGGTTTGCACAATTGGGTGCAATTTTACCTTCAGGAAAAGCGTAATCAAATTGACTACAAGGGCTATGTTGCCCGTAAGAATAAAAACAGGGTAAGAATGAGTCGGGTGCTTTTACAGGGGAAACAAATAGATTCACAGAGAATAGCTGTAATAATGAATCAAGGCACCATGACACAGAGCCAGGGTTGAGTTTTTCCTTGTACTCACCTCATTTTTAACTCCCTATAGGATTCCTAAATTTCCTCAGTCACTGACTTCTCCCACTCCTCCTCTTCCCACTGTCATTTGTGGCTATTGCACGTGCAGCTGGTGTCTACAGTTTTGGACTCCTTCAAGACATCCTAATGCTAAAAAGCTCAGAGCAAAACTAGTCCTTCAAACAAAATTCCTTTGCAGTTCCCCTACCTTTAAGTGAAACTAGACAGAAACCTGTTAGTCTACATGCCTTTTAAGCCCCAGTGTAGTCAGTGGCAAAAGGTCCCAAGCTGGGAATGACTAAACCCAGGCTAGAAAAGGTGCTTTCCTGAAGAGGCAAGCTATTCTGGTGTTCAAATAATATGCAGTGTTAGATTCTTATTGCTGGGAGATCTAGGAGCTCAGCCTTTGGAAGCTGAAGCTGTTGAAAAGACTTCTTCAGCTTCAGTGATTTTGGAATTAGACTTATTCTGTGCTGTTGCTTCCTTCTTCCAGCCTAAGGCCTGTAAATCTCAGCTCTGAAAATTATGAGGCACTGACAACTTGCAACTAGAGTACCAAAAAGTGATTCTTAAAAGCTGTTTTAACAGCTGTTTAGCTGTTTGCATTCAAACTTGTGAGGAAAAACAGAAAGCCCAGATCCTTTTGTGCAGAAACTATTTCGAACAGCAGTGCTGGTGTTTAGAGAATTGTAACACTGCTGAAGCTTAAAAGGATACCAATGAACCTCTATGCTCCAGAGGACAGGGAAAAGGCTCTGCTCCAGCTATAGGAACCTGGAATATTGTCCTTGAATCTATCACAGAAGCTCAAAGAAGCCTGTTCTATATCTTCGTCTCTCCAGAGCATAGGTTTCAGACTTTCTAATTACAGATCAGCTGCCATTGAGGCAGCTGGCAATGAGCTAGAGAGAGATCCAGACTGGGACAAGCAAAGTTGCTCAATGGAGTTGGACACTCATTGATAACACTTATTTCTCAATGAGTATTGCTATGAGCTGGATGACTGTTATTTCTTGGCCTTCTATAAAAACACCAAATATAACTCATTTCAAATGGCATTCAATATAAAGGAGTTTATTCTATTTTGGTATCTTTTGGGGAACAGGAATAGATGAAAAAACAAGGGCAGTGGCCTAAACTGCTTTTTATCTATTGTCATCAGAGGTGTAAGAATACTTTTGATGGGAAAGATAAAACAATTCTCAAGGTCTGGAACCATAACAGGAACCACTTACATCCACTAAAATTTAAAAGGAGTCTGAACTGTGAGGTCACATCTGGAACAGTTCTTTTACATCCCTCATTCCCAGTGCTCACTCTTGACACAAACCCCTGATGGTAGAGTGACTGAATCCTGCAATGCCTTCTAAAATCCGGAATCTAAAATTTTATCTGTCTAGTCACAACTCTGTTGGAGATTATTCCATTGTTTTGTTTCTGCTTTCAGCCTGACAAAGATGACCAAGTTCTGAGCCTCCAGTTCACTTGGAAGGGCTCGGTAAAGCCAATTGGAAGCACCTTTATTGGTGTCAGCCCTGAGTTTGAATTCGCCCTTTACACCATCGTTTTTCTGCTGTCTGAAGAAAACGTCACAGGTGAAACAGTGAAGATAGAGGAATATGAGCTACAGATAGTTGTTTGTCACCATGGGCAGCACATTGGAACAGCCTATCCAGTACTCCTTGGCACCGATCGTGAAGACTTGCACCGACAGTGATCAGGAAACATTTTTTTTTTTGAAGGAGTAAGTTAGTATGTTGTTTCATGCAATTTATTTCTAGTAACACTTTATAAATCACACATTTTTGGTCTTCAATAAAGTGTTCAATGAATAGCGTGCCATGGTTCTGTGTGACCCACCTTGAAATATGCTTCTCCTCATATTAAAGGCTCAATTACATTTGTATCAGCTTTCCTTCATGCATTATAATTCTATACTTCTTCAGCAGATAATGGAAATTTTTAAAAGGCCATATTAAAATGAATAGACACACTTTTATTTTTTTGTTAACTACTGCATGTCTGAGAGAGCATTAATTATACATTTTGTATACCTTTCCTTCAGGACAGGAACTTTGATTTGGCACAAGGGGAATCACTTTAGGTTTTTTTCCTTCTCATGTTTTCACTACTGCAATGCCCTGGACATGCAGGAAAAACATCCAGATGTGATTATTATCATTAAGATTAACCGCAAGTTTATCACTCTATTGGCTCTGCCAGGTTTTTGCCTACTTGTGGAAGCCACAGTAGGCTTTTTTCTCGCCTAACTTTAGAAGTCTGTAGTATAGGCACCTATGTTCTCATCAGAGTCAGTGTCTTTCCTTTGATGTCAACATGTCTGCCCCTGCTCTTCCAAAATGTATTCAATACCCCAATGAAAGGAATGTAATTCTTTTCCTTCTCATGCCCACTCAGAAACAGGCAAATGCTGTGACCCTCAGCGAGTGTGACAAGGATTAGTGACTCACATGCTACAATAGTTTCTTCAACAAAGCAAGGAACCTGCTGGTGAAGATTTGCTGACAGCATATCCTTCGCAAAATACTGCATATAATTTTCATCAACTTGCACACTAAAGAGCCTTACTAATGTAATCAGTGATGGTAATACACAAAGGAAAAAGCACAAAACAAAAATTACAAAGCCTATCGACATACATTATTGCATAAGGTAAAGGCTGACATATAAGTGACGGCAAGTTTCCCTTGCTCCAAGCACAGAAAGGCTAAAACATGGTATAAAGGAAAAGGACCTAAGGCCTGTTACCAAGGAATATCTTGTAACCAACCCCCTCATCCAAGGACTTCAACCATTCTGCTGCTGTCAGATCACCACATACTCATATCTACCCAGGGTGTCCCTAAAAGGGTACTGGAGTGCCCTGCAGTGAGTGAGCAAAGAGGTTCCTAGACTAAGGGATGTGCTTCACTGATACTCCTTTAGAAGCAAAACCATGAGCAGCAAAAAAAGGAAATAACCAAAACTGGATGATGTCACTGAAATTCAGGTAAAACAAACTTACATGAAGCCAAACATGCATCGACAGTTTCTAGACTCCTCTATTTTTCAAACTGCAACCGCAGACACTCATAAGAAGTCCCTGAAACCTGGCAAATCCATCCTAATAGAAAAAATATACACTGTTGAGTGATACTGTTACGAGACATTATCAGATCTTAGTGACAGTTCAAGTAGCAATAAGAAATGGCAAGAAATAAACTGTACAAATTCTTCAAGGGCACACATTTGGTGATGTCAGAGAATGAAAGGTTACATTTTCAGTTTATACTGAAAGCAATTAGAGTTGTTTTTACATAATTACATTAGAACTGTATAATTCTGCCATTATGTCTTCTATGGAAGGGCTTAAACCTCCAGGCCTAAACATTAACATAATCAGTACAAGCAGCTGACTTAGCCAGAGGGGATCAGATGTTTACAGGGAAATTGTGACTGTGTATACTGGAGAAGTGTGAATGTTGTTTGCAAAGTAGAACATAAATTAAGGATGTGAATAAGGAGCTTCCTTTTTTTTTTTTCCTTCTGTGATTTAATTGTTACAGCTTATGCTTAGGCTATTAGCAGATTTAACAAATAAAGCTAGATAGAACTGCATATAAGCAGAAAATTACAGGAAAGAAGGTGCAAGTAGATTATCTAACCATTAGCAAATGCACTTGCTAAGCAAAAGGGGAGATGAGGGAGGGCGGCAAGTAATAAAAAGAGAGGCACAGACTAAGTATTCAGATTTGCATCAAATGTTACAAGCAGAAAACCGCAAAAGAGACTACCCAGGCACTCACTGGTTTCCTGCACAAAATGACCAGGAAGGGTGGTTACCCGAGTGTCTGTGACTTTGGCTGTCCAGAGCTCATGCTTGCTGTTAAATGCACTGTTTGACTTGACAAGCAGGCTGCTCTCTCCTAAGCTGACTAGGCTGTACCTAGGCTCCCAGCTGAGCACAGGGAAGCAACAAACCCAGCTCCTAGACCTAAGCTGCTAAGTCTATAGAAAGCAGAAATGAGAGTCAACTTAGGACTTAAATATTCTATCAGTTTACAACAGTTATGAATAGGAGGACCGCTGGGAAAACTAGAGATGTGATCATGTGCTCCCACAGCACGGAAAGAGGAACTGCAGCCACCAACAGCATTGCAGCAGGCGTATTCCCAGGCAGAGGAAGGAAAATCCCCCTTCTAGTCTTGTGAGCTGTCCAAACCAGTCTTAAAAGAAACATATCCAGTGCCCATCCTGTGTTCCACATAGTGCATATCCCTGGGGTGGTTGGGAAGAAGACTCAAGCCTCATAGCTCTGTGTTCGGAGAAGACCGTGTACATCCTCTGCCCTCGAAACCTTTCCACTCCCCTCCTTTGTGTGTGTGTGCCTTGGGTTAGCTTCTTGGCCCCTACATCAGCTCAACCGCACCCAGCAGTGGCAGAAAACTGAGGGTGGCTCTCACACTGGTCCCTGAAGAGGGGAACCTCTAAAAGAAACGTAACGCATCTCTCCCCTCTGTTACTAACTGCATTGGACTGAGAATGTAAATCTTTGATATCCCTCAGAATATGCTTAAATGCGGTGTTACAAGAGAGACTGGCTTAGAGAGGTTGTTCAATTGGGCAAGATGCTCTGGAAGGTGCCCCTAATAGCCAGCATTTTAAAGCAACAGCCGTGCCCTCTTGTGGCCAATTCGACCACCATTCCTGCAGTTCTCTGCCTTAAAAAAAGTCTCCTCTATACAGTATTCCTGAAAAGCAAAGCAATGCTGTAACCCAGGGCACAGTTTTGTGAGCTTCAGCTCTCTGTGTCCCAGCTGCATACCCATTTATGTGGAGAATAAAGGTCTCCAGCTTTGGACTGAAATCCTGTAAAAAAGCAGCTTGATAGGCATTTCAGGCAATGCTAGTAGCTAAATGTGTTCATACAGTGGGAGTTCAAGAGACACTACATTAGCTCTTTCCGTATTAAGGCTTGTGAGCTAGGTATGGAAATGGCCTTTGCCAGCCAGAAAAAAATGAGGGCTTTTTTTTCCATACAGGGGATAGTTTAGGAGAATAGATTATCCAAGTAAGACTTTGTTTGGGGAAATGGGGAACTTTTGTGGATAAAAGCAACTGACAGAAGAATGAAAGGTATTTATAACCCACCTGCAGCGCACTAAATCAAAGGCATATATCAGACAAGTGTTGAAGTTGTTGCTAGCCTCTCTGTGGAAGGTCTTGAGTAATTTGACATGGCTATTCAGGACAGTAAATAAAACATGCGGGAAGAAAACTGGAACTCTGCGAAAGCAAAGTGAGGAACTGAGACCTGAGAACAAATGGATGAAAGACCAGCCAGCAGTGTGCTGAGATGGCCTGTGTGCAGCATCTGTGATACCAAAAATCCAGGCAGAAAGCCCTGTGTGGAGCACAAACCCAGTGCCTCAGAAGGAGCGAGAGCAGCAGTTTTGGCCAAGCAGCCAAAAGGGCAGTTGAAATACAAAAGCAAGTGTGATCCCTTGAGCCCATCAAGGGAGGTACTGCTGGGGAAGCAAAGGGTGGTTGCAGCCTTTAGCATGGGATCCAGAGCTAGAGGCATTGAGACTGGGGCTGGGCTGGGGATATCTGTTACAACAGAGATCCTCCAGAATATGTCCCAAATCCAAATCTAGCTTTACAGGCCAAGTAAAACTATAGTGAGATTCTTTAATTAGTCCCTTGTTTTCTTTCTCTTATCACTGCATGTTTCCTTTGTCTAATTTTAAATATCTTAGTTTATTAAACTTTATGGTGGAGCCACTAAACATATGGTTCATGGTGGATCAAGTAGAAACACACCAACATAGATCGGATCAGCCTTGGAAGGAGTGATTTTACCAGACTCTGTAAAAGCTTTAGGAGAATAAGCCAAGTATCGTTGACCTTAGTGATGTCCTGTCAAGTAAGTATGTGAACATATGAGTATAAGAGCATCCAAGAGGCCTGCGTAAAAGTCATACAAATGCAGTAATAAAAACAGAAGGAAAAAGGTCCAGCAAAGTGCTGCTACATACTCAGGCAGCTGTTAGGGAAATAAGATGTTGCAAATATGTACAGAGGACAGCTATGGCACCTGTCTATAAGTAAATCTTTCTTAATTAGCTACACCTTTATGTTTCCAGAATTAACCCTGTAACATTCAATTTTACTTTTTATGTGCTTTTTAGAAATAAGTTTTCTCCTAGAATAAAAGTAAGAGTAGTAGAAATACCCACTAGTATAGTTAGAAACAGTTTGTCCAACAGCATAATACAGTATTGGATAGGCACTCCATGCGGTAATAAAAATTTCAAGCAAACCGCAGCAAATCGTCAAGGAATGCAACCCTGCGATCCTGTGATCTTAGATTTATATCTGTGGGGAAGGAGAAAGGAAGGTCACCTTGAATCAGAGTAAATAATGGTAAATATTCAGGTGTAGTCATGGAAGGAACATTACCCTACCGTTCACCTGAGCTGAGTTTCATAGCTTTGGAAACACTGCCTGATTACATCTCAGGTTGATGTGCATCGCTGTGTGAAGAATGATGCTTCTGGAAGCATTCAGAGCTGCATAAGCATACGATTCATTAAACCAGGAGGGAGCCCAGAAGTATGCATGTGACATAGCACACCTCCGACTGAACACACACATTAATATGTGCGGCTTAAGACTTCAGTGGAGGTAGCTTTTCTAACATAGGTGATCCAGCAG